TCCTTTTTTTTTTTAACTTAAATCTCAGTCTTTCCAGTCAAGTCCCACTTGTGGTCCCATGAGCAAGCTGAGGATTGTACAATACTTCCTAAAGGCTCTAGGACTAGGACAACTACTGGGCTATAAAGGAAGAACTGCCTAGAGAACTTGTTAATAATACATTATTTCAAGCTTCACCCCAGAGATACTGACTCATCAGAGTCACAATGGGGCCCAGAAATCTGTATTTTAAAAAGCATCCCAAGTACTTTGAATATCCATATAGGTTTGGTGACCACTCATAGCACAGGCTCAAGAATACTCTGATTCAAGTGAGCTGATTCCCTTCCTGCAACCTCCCAACTCAGACACAAAGAACTGACTTTTCAAACGTTAAATCCACCTTTTACATTTCTTATTCTAAGATTTTAATTAACAACTATACTGTGCACACAAAAGGCCTATACACTAAAGATTTTTTCTCTTTGTAAGTACAAAGACTAGAGAGAAAGCTTACTTTTTAAAAATCTACTTTTCCTTTGATAGAATACATATTAGAATACATGATAGAATACATATTTTTGGCTGTTAGGATTTTCAAAAATTAGTATTGATTTCTAATGAGAATATTTTCAGTTTTTCATGCATTATATAAAGCATTTACACATAGGTAAAATTTTTAAAAATTAAAAAACTTTGGGAAGAAAGAACTTCATGTCAGGACACATTATAAAACTAGGATAACATAAAAAATAGGAGATAAAATCACACGATAATAATGAAAAACATTAAATCAATATTTATTTAGGTGAAAGAAAAATTATATTCGGCCTGTATGACATTGTATTGGATTATGATCCATTTTCTCACCATATCTACTGAAAAAACCTGTTTGATGAAAGCTTTAATAAGAGAGATTGCTAAAAATTGGAATAAAATCTTCTAAGGCTGTGAAAACATCTTCTCTTGAAGCATTATAAATAGGACAGACTGTCACAGTTTTGAGATTGGTGGTCCCAACCATGCCATTAAAAGTGAACAGTCTTAAAGACTTTTAAAAGTGGCATTCTTACTTTGTAATATAATCATTCATTGATAGCTGTCAATTCAGAAAGGCCATTTAAATGCGTAAGTTCTTTTAATGAGAAAACTTTTTAACATGTTAGAGAAAACAAGTAAACATAACAAACTTTTTTACTTTGTATCTCCTCTGCCAAAAGATTACAATGATAACATAAAGATATCAGCTCACTGGAAACAAGGTTATATGGGTGAAATGTCCTTTTGAGGGATAAATAGGAAGGAAGGTAATAATGCCCAGTGAAGAACTCATTCACATTCTGGCTGTAGCCATGTTTATGGAAATGATGGGAGACATTCTACAGCAAAATGTCTTTTTATAGTATATATATTGACAGAAGAAAAACCTGTAAGAGGAGAAGTCAGTTTAGCTACACTGGTTTTGTGGATATAAGGAAAGGCAATATTTCTAAAGGATCAATTACTAATCAAGGTATTCATGCCAGTTAACAATATCATCTTGATGGCTGAACAAAATAGTAGATAAATCTGTGTTTTTGTAACACTGAACTCAATTTCAAAATCAGCATATACTGTTACATGAAGTAAAACTTTTTCTATATTCAACAACAAATACAATATAACTAGTAGAAGACTGATTTCTCCCCAAACCTCCAAAGCTGTGAATCAATACACTTGCCACTGACCTAAACCAGGTAAGTATTTATTTGAGTTCTGGTGCAAGGTAGTAAACTACATGTATTTTATTTTCTTTTTTAAAATTTATTTATTTTATTTATTTAGTTTTGGCTGCATTGGGTCTTCGTTGCTGCACGCGGGCTTTCTCTAATTGCAGCGACCGGGGGCTACTCTTTGTTGTGGTGCACGGGCTTCTCACTGCAGTGGCTTCTCTTGTTGCGAAGCACGGGCTCTAGGTGCGCAGGCTTCAGTAGTTGTGGCTCGCGGGCTTTAGCGCACAGGCTCAGTAGCTGTGGTGCACGGGCTTAGCTGCTCTGCGGCATGTGGATCTTCCTGGACCAGGGCTCGAACCTGTGTGCCCTGCACTGGCAGGCGGATTCTTAACCACTGAGCCACCAGGGAAGTTCAATAGTTGTATTTTAAATATAGCATTTTCACTTTATAACAATGCCTTATTTTTACTGGCATTTATTTACTGGACGTAATAAACATGGCAAGGGATTTTATTTTTCATCACTTGTGTCGTAAAATTTAAGGTATAAGAATAACCTGCATATACCCAAGGCAATGCAGTACTCCAAATCAGCCAAACGAACTTCTAACAAATTTGATCTTCTCAACAGTTTGCAGGGACATAAAGAAGCAGTGAAACATGAAACTCGAATAATACTAAGTTGGCTTCGTCTACTAAACACCCAAAAATGGAACAACTTCCCAGCACTATGGAGGAACAAAACACGCAAACTGCAATGGCAGTGACATTTTATAATAAATTTAATACTATACTAATAGCTAAAATGCATAATTCATGTTAAAAATGGTTGGGAAGTTCTCTGTTGTTCTTAATTATAAAGTATTTTGTGTTATTTTGGCTATGCCAAGGAATCTGAAGTAATATAAAACAGAGCTATAGCATGTTGGAAGGACATCACCATCAACATAGGACTAAGGTTGGCCATTCTTGAGGTAAGCAAAAGGAAAAGCTAGGAGCTTTAAATAATCAGTAATTGACAGGAATTGCTCTATTATGTGGTTCACCTTGATGACATGCCCATTGACTACAGTATAAAGCAACAAGAATACTTCTTCAACCCAGAGTGTTCTCTTTAGGATTCTGCAGTTTCCAATGCTAGGTAAATAATTAGTATTCATTTTTTCAGAAGAGGCAATATTCTGAAAATTTCAGGTTTTTACAGATTATGCACTTTTTATATCTATCACAAACCACCAAATAACAAATGAAACAAAAAACCTAGCTTTCTCAACTGTGAGGGCCCCAAAATAACAAGTTTAAACAAGTAATGTTAAGCAAAAAATTTTCTCATTATGTGAGGCATATTTGTCTCCATCTGTAATTTTCAAGATATTTTCAAATAATATCTTGGTAAATACATGGAGCTTAGTTGGCCAGTTATCAACATTTGCTGTGAGCAAACTATATCCTAGACCTATAAACCTAGATGGTCACAATGGCTAAGAACAAAAAACAAAACAAAACAAAACAAGATAGGCTTTGCTTCCAAAGGTAAGACAATAGAATTAATGAGTATACTGTCTGGGCCCAAATATTTGGAAATAAATGTACCTCATTAATTTGACTTCCATTCTGTAATTAATTTGAAGAAATAAAAGAATGTTAACTCAAGCATTTTAAGAACAAAGAATGGAATGGCACATAATTATATATTCTTCTACATATTCATTTATATATAGTCATATCTAAATGTGACTAAAGACTTGGTTAATGTGTAAGAGTAAATTGCATTACGATGCTTCCACAAATGGGGAAAATGCACATTTCAGTTAATACAAATATACACTAAACATCTATAACGTGAGAGTATGCAATAAATCCTACAAATAAACAAATTAAAAACAATAAATCCTACATGTTTCATCCACCAAAATCTCAATGCCAAAGGACAAAGTTGACTGTCCTTAATTTGGATTTAGATGACTTTTATTAGATTTACCTCCTGGATATTGTTACCAAATGAAAGAGAAATTCCTTTCACTGTGGTCTATGATAAGAAGTCAGATAATGGCTGAGGGAACCTAACCATCTCATAATTCAAATGGCTTGCAGAACAACTGAAGGAATACACACTAAAGAGTATAACCTCTGTGAATCAATCCAATAAGCCCACACACTTGTTGGACTAGTGTTTGATTAAAGTGATAGATCACTTAATATGGCCAAAAGACAAAGCAGATTGTCCATAAATTCCAACACTCAAACCATTACATTTTTCTTTTTTACTTCCAGTTTTGAGAATACTCAAATTAGGAGATATAAAAATAATTTATTCAGCAAAATTTGTCCAACGGTTTTCTATCACACAAAGAATAAAATACAAAGACATATACCTCTATGTGATCTGGCCCCAGGCTACTTTCTACCATCAGTCACCTCTCACTATATCTCACAATCACTGTACTCCAGACTAGCAGCCTTCTTGCTAGTCTTAGAGCACACCAGGCACATTCAGGGCACTGGCTGCTCTCTTTGCCTAGAATGTTCTTCCCCTGCTTATCTTCATTCAGAACTATGTTCAAATATTACTTCTTCAGGGAAAACTTCATGACCACTGCATATAATGTAGCACGATCTGTCATTGCCCTCTATCCTCCTTTTTTTTTTAAAAATAATAGTACATATCTGTACTTGACATTATGTTTCCATTTTCTCCATGTCACCCCACTAGAATGGCTAGGGACTTGCTTTGTTCACTGATGAATCTCCAGTGCTAAGAACAGTGCCTGGCATATATGCAGGGGCTCGGTAAATATCTGGCAAATCAATAAAAGAATGAAAATCCACTTAATCTACAAATTTTGGTTTATATTTTGGGTCAGACACCCTAAGCTCTAGATACAGACACAAATATGCAAAGTGTTATACTTTGATAATACAGAAAAATAATATGTAGAATTATTAGGAGGGAGAGTGCTCTTGCCGAGTTACAATGGACTAAAAACAGTTAATTGTCTTTAATTTTAGATCACTGATGACCTTAACCAAATGTGTTCTCAGTAGTAGAGATAGACTGCACCCAATTGAAAAGAGGAGAGGTAAGGAATAGAGAAGAATAATTTTCACAGTTTTTGAAGAACTGATTTACCAAGTATCATTTTCATTCTAAAGAACTGAAAGATTAATATTAAAGAATTTGCAATGTCACCTCAAGTGTTATTAATATGTTCATACAAAAACATATATGCTTTGATATTTTTTAGATATGCAATTACTAAGAGTAAATCAGCATATAGCTAAATTAAAATAAGCACAAAGTATTCCTTACCTGAATTTCTAAAATCATTCTGTCAATCTCATCTTGTTGGTTGTCTATTATCTACAACATAGGAAATATATCAGTCTGAATCAAATTTTTTTTCCATTGATTTTTTGGAAGTACCAAATTTCAAGAAAACAAAAGCACAGGGAATTATGAATTTATTTTTTTTAAATCAAAGTGTGTGTGTGTTTTTCTTTAACAAAAGTATTCATACAAAGTATCCTTTAAATAGCCGTATGATTTGAATCACACATATGTAAAACTGCAAATGTCTTACTCTAGCTCTTGATAAAACTTTAATCTTTACAATTTATAAAAATAAGTTTGAGACAGATTTTGAATAATTTAGGAAGGAAAAAGATAGCCTTTTGTTTTTGCTAAGAAATAATATATAACTTTAGTTTGGCTTTTATTTAAATTTAAATTAAAGTTACTTAAATTGCTATTTTCTTTCCTTATAAAAACATTCAAACTAAAAATTCCATAAGCTATTAAATATTAGCAAAAATATAAATCAAATAAACTAGATTAAATTATATATCTATGCACGTATCCATATAGTATAGATTTCACTATCAAATTTCATTATTAAAGATATATACTGACCTTACTAGCATTCTCATTTTGTTTTCTCAGGTTATCATTTTCATTCTGAAGCTGTTTTGCATCTAACATGGGAAGGCGAATTCCGTCTTCAAGGCATCTTTCTACTTTTTGCTGCAAACTGTTTTAGAAAGACATAATTATATGAAGAAAATAAGCTCTCTGTGCTGATTTTGGTAGATGAATGAAGTCTCTTCTTAGCATCTATAATATTTTTTAAGCAAGCAATAATCAAGACCTACAGACAACAGATGACTAAGTTTGAGTACCTATATTTCATATAAATAAGAAATATAACGCAGGCAGATTATCTTTTCAGAAATAGCAAATACGAGACCAGAGTCAAGAGTTGCTTAGTATGTGACAACATTAGGCCCTGGTGAAGTCCTTCATGACCCTAATCTGAGCTCTGCAATCTAAGCCGTGTTCTTTCCCTCTCCCCCAAAGGAGAGTTCCTTGATTAAGATGATTATGGTAGGGAGCCTAAGAATATGGATACATGTCTTTTGCCCTGCATTTTGAGTTCAGCAAAAGTTTGTTTGTAAAGATAATTGTTGACTAAATCAGCAAAATTACATTTCTCCTTCATTAATATAAGGAACAATCTAGTTCCTTTTTACAGTAATCTGCATTTCTATCAATAGCCTTTCTTATTTCCTTCAGCATTTTTACTACCTCCTTTTTGAACTTGGGATCTAGTAGACGAGAGGTCAGTTTCATTCTTTATTCTTTCAGGGAATTCTCTTGATCTTTTCATTGGGAGTGGTTCCTCTGCTTCATTTTACTTATTTTCTCTGACTGTATGAGTTTAGAAGAAACAGTTACCTAGTGGTCTTGAAGGGCTGTTTTTGTGGGAGCATCCCTGTATAGCCTGCGTGCGTCTAACGTTTTTGATGCGAGGGCTGTTTTTAGTATGGATGCCCTGCCACGTCTTTCCTCAGTGTGTGCTGCCCTAATGGGTGTGATTGGTGTTGTGGTGACCAGAGTTTGCACTGGATGCTGAGTGGGGCCTCCTCTTTGAAAAGCAACAATCCAATATATTTATTCCTTGACCTAACAGTTTCTTATGCTATGCTTGGCACAGAGTTGCATTTTAGAAGAGGAAACAACAAAAGGAAGCCCCTCTGGTATATTAAGAATAAAAGACAGGGAGCAGGGTGGATGTTAGCTTTGAGAAAGGAAGAACAGTATTGTTTGGGTTAAAAGAAACTATGCTATTAAAAACAATGACCAAAACCAAAACATAACAGCGAAGACACCTAGGAATAGGTCTACTTTAGCCTGTAATCATACTCAAGAGTTGCAGCCTACTAAAAGAAACAGACTTGTTATAATGTGGATTTTTGATATTTTCATTATTTTTCTTCTTTCAAGTATCATGGCTATCGTGTTTTCTCTCTCCCCGCCCACCGCCCAAAAAGAAAAATTGCCATATCTAGTCTGTGGACAAAGAATTGACAGTCCTAAATAGTACAATAAGGGCTTCAGATGTGTTCATAAATAATGGCACCAGAGAAGTTTCTACGTATTATGAATGTACTGTACTGATTTGTAATATATTGTTACTTGTCATAAAAGTATTTGCTTTTTCAGTCTAAAAGTAAAAAAATACATTATTTCTATCTCAGAATAAGTTTTTGTCTCAATTCAGTGTGAAGACACTACTTCTATGCATTTATAACATTTCAAGAAAAATAAGTTACATTAAAACTATTAAGGTCTCTCATATTAAAAAGAAAACAAAAGAGCCAGTGATGTGGAGGGAAAAATATACTCTGTCATGTAAAAATATCAAGTATTCTTTCATGTATATATTCTCATTTTGTTTACGTTATGAAGCATGCTCACTTAGAAAAGTAATAAATCTCTTTAACGGCAAAGGTACCAACTATTGCAATACTAGGAATCCCGTCCACATATTTTACTTAGATTTTCATTTCTAAATGGAAAAGTTTTCTTATCTCATTTTTAAATCCCAAAAGTTCTTACGTATTCACAAAGCAGGAAACTTGTAATATTATATAAAAACAGATCAATGTAATGATATAATTTATAGTCACATAATACATCTTAAGTTCTTCTGGAACTTAAGGAATACTACATCATATAGCTGAGGAAACTGAAATAACACTCCTACGCCCAAGTCAACTGACACTATAGCCATACAAGTACTGAAGAATTTTAGAAGGCCTTCTTCGGTCCTTTATATCTATTAGAAATCAAGAGAAGTTTCCTGGGATGATGTCATATCAGAGAGTATCAAGATAAAGTTTAGCATATGGAAAATGGATTCTCAAATGCACTATACTAAATCTTTCCAAATCACGAATACTAGGCTCAATGCTCTCCAAAAACCTAATAAAAGAGAAGGTATAAAATTATATTAAATATGTAAAAGCACACAATGGAACAAAACAAATTATTTTCAGGTGTTCCTAGTTCTACTCATAAAACACAGCTTGAGTTTATGATTGTAATGCCCTATAAAACAACAAACGCATTACCTCTTTTCATTTTGTCATAAGATTAAAGAAAAAGATATGTGGTTGAGTTAATGGAGGTCAGGAAGCTGTTTTGAGACTAGAGAATAGGATATAAGATGTGGAGTAATAAAAAGAAATTAAAGATCAAGAAAGCAGAAAACAGGAGAAAAATAAAGGTAGAGTCAAAGGTATATGGATTTTTTTTGGAGCTGAGATTAGAAACACAGAAGACTGAATTGTCCCAGAAATCAGAGGTTTTCTGCACTGAAATCTAAGGAAAAAAAGGTAGACCAGGCATATTTAAGACTTTGAAAATAGTAGTAAAGCAATATTAACATGGAATTATCCGGAGGATTTTGACTAAAAAAGTGAGTTACATTGAGTTATATATAATTGATAGAAGCATAAAGAGTGCCTTTATTAAATTTAGTTTTTTGCTGCTTTGTTGTCTTCTTCTTCAGGATAGTGTTATCTACTTAGAGTTGATAATTTATTAAGGTTTTTTAAGTTCTACAAAACAGTGTACATGTAGATGCATATGTAGCATAGTTTTCTAGGTTTTTCATGAATCCAACATTAATTTTCCAGCTTAAATACATTAACAAAATATACTAACAAATAATATTCACTGCAGTTCTAACTGTATTAAATTCGAAGAGACCTGTGAGGCAAAGAGATATGTGAGTAAACTCGGAAGGTGCATGGCAAACGGCCGCATCTGTTACTCTGCAGTCAGGTGAAATGGGAGCCAATTACTTCACTTTGACATGTCCCATTAAGGAGTGCAGTCCGGCTGCCCCTCTTTTTGTTACTTAGAATTTTTACTTATTCTTTGACAAAGCCATTAGATAAAGGGTTTGTGTTAATGCTTCCAGTTTTCAATTGATGTGTTTTTTTTTTAGAAAACTATTCTCATCTAAAACCTACCGTTATCTAAAACCAAGATGTCAGTATGTTGCATCGCATTGTTAAATCACAACTGAGACAACCTGTTTCGATGACATAATACTTCTGGTTCTCAATAATACATCTTTAAGAGAAATAATAGAGTACTAATTATAAATTAACATATTTTAAGTGAAATGCTTTATGACAAATAAGGAATAACTTAAAAATAACATATTGGGCTTCCCTGGTGGCGCAGTGGTTGAGAGTCCGCCTGCCGATGCAGGGGACACGGGTTCGTGCCCCGGTCTGGGAAGATCCCATGTGCTGCGGAGTGGCTGGGCCCGTGAGCCATGGCCGCTGAGCCTGCGCGTCCGGAGCCTGTGCTCCGCAACGGGAGAGGCCACAGCAGTGAGAGGCCCGCGTACTGCAAAACAAAAACAAAAACAAAAACAAAAACAAAAACATAAAAGAATTACTGAAGGTTTCCTTACCTCTGAACTGTAGTTACCAACTCCTTTTCTTTCTTTTTCTGGCATATTAGCTGTGCCTCATTTTCTTGACACTGTTTTTTGAACTCTTCAAGCCTTTTTTCCATTTCCATCAAAGTCTCTTGCAAATTCTTGTTTTTTTCTTCTAGAACTTGCAGCTAAAGAGAAATTTTTTTAAGTTCATGACACAAAGAATATTAAATATGTTCCTACTAGAAACTGACACTGGGTTCTCAAGAATTAATAGACTTATGGTTAAAATTACACTATCTTCATTTCATGGATAGCACTTAACACTTTATCTCTTCCTTTGTGTAAAGGGAGCTGAGAGAATGAGATTATGGAGAAGAGGAGAATAGGGTCAGAAATTTCTAGAAGACAGAGAAAAATGAATGATCTCAATTTGGGGATATTTTTAAAATTTTAATTGTGGCAAAATATACCTAACATAAAATTCACCATCCTAACCATTTTTAAGTGTACAGTTCAGTACAGTTAAGTACATTCACATTGTTGTAAACTAATCACCAGAACTCTTTTCATCTTTCAAAACAAACTCTCTACCCATCTACCTCTCTGTCCATCTACCTCTCCCCTCAACCCCTGGCAATCACCCTTTGACCTTCTGCCTCTATGAATTTGACTACTTTAGGTATCTCATACCTATTTTTCTTTATCTTTAATCTATTTATCTTTGCTTTTTTCTTTTTCTAATTAAATGTCTCCTTTTCAATTCCTAAAGTAATTACTGTAATCATTTTTTTAAATTTTATTTTATTTAATTTTTTATACAGCAGGTTCTTATTAGTTACCCATCTTATACATATGTCAATCCCAATATTTATCTCTGTGATTGGCTTATTTCACTTAGCAAAACGTCCACAGGTTCACCCATGTTGTAGCATGCGTCAGAAAGTCCTTCATTTTTAAGGCTATATTGTGTGTACACATCACGGTTTGTTCATCCATTCACCCACTGATGGACACCTGAGGTACCGTTTGGCTACTGTAAATAATGCTGTTATGAACATGCATTGTGAATAAACACCTGTTTGAGACTCTGCTTTCAATTATTTTTAGCATACACCCAGAGGCGGAATTCGTGGAGCATATGGTAATTCTATTTTTAATATTTTTGAGGAACCATCATATGGTTTTCAATAGTGGCTACACCATATTACATTACTACCAACAGTGCCTGAGGGATTATAATTTCTCCACATCATCACCAATGCTTGTTACTTTCTGTTTTTTAGATATTAGCCATCTTAATGGGTGTACTGTGGTATGAACATGTTTTAAAATCTATAGTCCTCTCTGTTCCTGCTCAAGCTCCTGTGGGTCCTTCTTTAGTTCCTTCCTTCATGATATCACCCTCTGTTAGTTTTACAATTTATAAATTAATGTAAAGAGAGATTGTATTATAGGTCTAGAGTCTACAGAATAATGATACTCCATGGATTAGATCAATGATTCTCAAATGGGAGTGATCTCCCTCCACTCACCCCAGCAGACATTTGGAAAAGTCTGCTGACATTTTTGGTTAAGGGGGAAGGGAAGAAGCAGCACTATTGGCATCCAGTAGGTGGAGGCCAGAAATGTTGTTAAGCATCCTTTAATGCACAGGACAGAATCCCACAACAAAAAATTACCTAACCTCAAATGTCAAGAGTGCTAAAATTGAAAGTCCCACGATTAGTAAGATTTTGAGAAAAGACTGAAGAGTAGGTTTAACGGATTTACAAATAAGGCTTCAAGAGGATAGGCCTCACCAGAGTTAGTAGAAAGACTTTGGATGAGGTACTGCTGAGAAAGGAAAATGGCCAGAAGAGAAGTCAGAGGAGTGAATGGAGGTCATAGATTAAAGTATAAGAAAGAATTTATAGAAAGATTAAGAAGAATGATGAAAACAAAACAAGTATCTGGAAAGATGGTCAAAAAAAGGTCTTGTTAAGCCTTTGTGGATCCCACAGAATACTGGGAAAAGTCAGAACTGAGGTGCATGAGTGCGTGTGCATGTGGTGGGCTGTCACTGGTTTAGAAACTACCTTTTAGAGTAGAACAGTAAGTGAGAGAGTTAAGACAGGTTCATTAGGAAGGAAACCGCATATTAATTAAGAACAAGAAAGATCTATTCATGCTCAGATGAACAAAGTTTCTAATTAAAGTTAATCCTAAAAACAGCAATTAAGCACACAGATTTAACTTACAATTAGACAAATATACAACTAAAATTTTACATTATAAAAATTTACAAAGTGAATGAAAAATTATAAAAGTGAAATGTCTAAAGAGTCAACTTAAAAAAGAATATGTTTCCCTCTCATTTAAAGATCAGAATTTTATTTCATGTTACCTGTAGACTCTGACTCTGTACATCATCAAGAGTTGGAAGATCAGCCAGATACTTTTCTAAGGTCTCAATTCTTCTCTGCTTTTCTTTATTCTGTTCAGATTCCTTCTGGCACTTCTTTTTCAGGCTACTGATGTATCTATCTCTGGTTTTAAGCTAAAGGAAAAGATTATGAAGCTTCAGTGGTTTTGTCAAAAATCAGTTAATATAAAAGCCAACATTCTAATCTTAGGCATCACTGAATTCACCAACCATTCCAGATAAGTTAACACCACTTCCAACTTAAGTATGATTTATCTTATTTCATAGATTCTAAGATTCACATTTTTCTCAAATTCCTGTATCACTGAAATCAAGAGTTTTGAAATTTTTATTTGATTTTACAATTGATGATATAAACTGCAGTCAGGCAGCAGTAATGATGTAGTTTTTATTGCCTGCACATGTGCAAATTTGGTCAAGGCTATTCATATCTTTGTCATTTCAACAGTATTATGTACATGTTGAAAGTGTGTTGAGTTTAAATCATATTTAAAATACCTTTGAAATATTACATTATAATTTGGCATTGAAACATGTTATTGGATACCCAGAGAGACAGTTTCAGGGAACAACTGAGAAATCAGTGAAGCAAATATTCATCTCTGGAAGGATGACTTTAATTTCTTATTTATTGCAAAGTTACGTGCAATGTTTTACGTGAATTAAGAAAGGAAGATATCTATAAGTAATTAAAGCTGTTTTGTTACTTACAGACTTACAAAGGAATCGCTTATCATGTACTAAAGCAAAGCAATCAAAGCCAGGGCACTCACCAAAAATACCAAATACTTAGGAACAAATAATGGGACTAGTGAGACTAATTCATACCTCAAGCAAGACTATTGTTAAGGCATTGTGTCAAACTGAACTTGCACTATATTCTCTTACTATACAAAATAAAGATGTGCCTTACCATTAATGTCATCTTAGGACTGATGAAATATGCTAATTGAACACCTACTATGGAATACATACAATTCATGATCTTTAGTAAATCCCAATTTGTGTAGGTTGAACCTCAGACTTTTATGTACTATTTTTTTTCACCTTTCCACCTAAAACATACGATCTTTAAATTTTGTAGATATACTATCTCTAAAGCTCTTTCATAATCAAGATCAATTAAAAACAATGTATATATAAATAGTTGCCTAAAAAGTAAACTCCAGACTCACATTTACTTTAATTTACCAGTCTTCCAAACATTTACATTCTTTCAGAAGCTTACAGGGTTCTAAAATATCTTTATAGCCTTTTCTCATATTCACCAGGGAAATAAGTACAAGTAATTAGTAGTATAATGGATTACTCTTTCAAATTTTATTAAAGCTAATGCTTGTCCACAATCCAGTTTCTTTCATGCCTTATCCAACTTATTTCAGGTCCAATGAATAACAACTTTTATTAAAACAATTTCAATTGGAAAAACAAAACACAAAACAAATATACACTACCAAATGTAAAACCAATAGCTAGTGGGAAGCAGCCGCATAGCACAGGGAGATCAGCTTGGTGCTTTGTGACCACCTAGAGGGGTGGGATAGGGAGGGTGGGAGGGAGACACAAGGGGGAGGAGATATGGGGGTATATGTATAGGTATAGCTGATTCACTTTGTTGTAAAGCAGAAACTAACACACTATTGTAAAGCAATTATACTCCAATAAAGGTGTTTAAAAAAAAGAAAAAAAACCCAATTTCAATTGGAAAAACAAATTGCATTTCATCTATTCATTCCATCAATACGTTAGGATTCACTTAGGTCCTTGGGTAAGGAGCAACAATGGTAAAACAGACAAAACCTTTTATTGGGGCTTTCTTAGGACTAAAATCAAGTGTGCTGGTGTGACAATTTAACTTTTGATCTATCAGAACTCAGACCGTTGGCCCTGGTTGTGACCTGAAAGACCATATAATCCTGCTCTTGCCTTAGCAAATGACCCTGTAAATTACAGAAGGAAACATAACTACCAGCCTATTTTTACTACATGCTCCCTAATTTACACTTAATTGTTTGTGTCTTAAATGTGACATAATTGTTTAAGTGACCTAATTGTGTCCTCAAAAAGCAGCCACTAGAATAAGTTAGTCATGCTGTCTTCTATGCAAAGGTGTCCTAGGTTTCTTCTTTTTCTTTGGTCAATTCTCTTCTTTGCTATCATGTCAAGCTTGCCGGCTCTTGATCACAAATCTCCGCCAACACTCTCCTATTGGATACCATCTCTGTTATTTGTGGCCACAAGCTGATCACACATAATTACTGGATCTTTTTTTTTTTTCCCCCAGCCCTGCTCACTGATGAGAAGCTCTCTATTTTTTGTTTTTTTTAACTTCCAAGTTTTATGTTGTTGCAGATTAGCAGATTAACAGAGGTTACTGAATTCTGAACTCCAGTAATTACCTACAGGTAAATGAGGCATCACTAATAAATCTTTCCTATTCTAGTTATAAAAAGTTAAGTAAAATTTCAAGGAGGTATTATGCAATACTGAGATCATTCCTAGAAGGCAATTCCACATTTCAGAAGAGGTTTACAAACAGAGTTATTTTTCTTCATTTTAAATACAATTATTAGAACAAAATAGGGAGAAAATGTTTTCCACTAAAATTTTTATAAATTATTATTAGAACCAAGGCATCAGCTGGAGAGTTAAATTGTCTTGAATTTTACTTCCAGCTTTTCAACATGCAACTGGACAAATTACTTAACTTTTCTCAAAATTTCAGTAACCTCATTTTTTAAAAATGGGGTATAGTATATACCTCATAGGGTTTCTGTGACACTAGGATTGAATAAGAAAATGCATTTAATGTACATTAACATACTATCTGGCACATAAAAGAAAGTGCTCAACAAAGAGTAACTTCCCTTGTTATTGTTACCACATTAAATGTTTTTCTGTCTTAGAATCAGTCTTTTTTTCTTTTTCTTTTTTTTTTTTTTTTGTGGTACGCAGGCCTCTCACTGTTGTGGCCTCTCCCGTTGCGGAGCACAGGCTTCGGACGCACAGGCTCAGCAGCCATGGCTCACGGGCCCGGCCACTCCGCGGCATGTGGGATCTTCCCAGACCAGGGCACGAACCCGTGTCCCATCCATCGGCAGGCAGACTCTCAACCACTGTGCCACCAGGGAAGCCCCTTAGAATCAGTCTTGATCAGGGTTACTGAGAGTAAATGCAGAAGGAAAACAATGCAATCTAATCTCATGTGGGCCCAGGGTGCTGTTTAGTTGATGCATTATCAATGAGTCTAATTTCCTAGCTTCTACACTCCCTTCAAGAACTCAGGTCATCTCCCTGTCCTCTGACACAAAGTCTACCCTCTATATTAACCCCACTCCTCAAGGTCCACTGGATATACATTTAATTTAGATTGTTTTGGATTAGAAAGACACGTCCATTCTTAATTGTCTCACTTCACAGAGAGGCTATTTCTCTTCTTTTCCAAGAGGAACTCTTCCACCTTGGCATCTGTTATCAACATTCTCCTATTTCTCCTTAGGAATCTGGCCCATCGTGCACCCATTCTGACATCTTCGATATCTCTAATTACACTTTCCCTAGTCCTTTGTTGGGGTTAACTCATTCCCTTCTCTCCCTTTGTGGCAAAAATCACCTGAAAGCATTTGTTCATTCATTCATTCAATATGCCAGGGACCATGGCTTGTGCTACATATGCTACAGTGACACATTCAGATACATCCCTGCCTTCACAAAACTTACAGGGATATATAAAAAACAAAGCAACATTCAAATCTGTGCTGAGAACAAAATGCTTTAAGCATGTATAAGAAGCCGTTGGAGGGAAAATATATTTAAGTTGAGACTTGATAAAATATTGATAAATAGGTGACTGGGGAGCAGGTAAAGAGAGCCAAGTATTCATCAGGCAAAGAGGACACTTTATGTAAAGAACCTATACCAGAAACAAGGTCTGACCTGCTTAACAACTGTAAGACACTATACCAAGACACAGTGTACCAGAGGGAGACTGGTAGGGCCCAAGGCTATATAATTAGGCAGGCTCTTTCAGGTCATAGAAAATGTTAAATTCTTATTTTAAAGACAATGAGATAGCATTAGTGGGTTTTAACCAAGTAAGAAAAATGACTGGATCTTCATTTTAAAAGGTTCATTCCTCCATACTATTAAGAATGGATTTGCAAGGCTGTGGAGCACCTGGAACTCTCACACATTGGTAGTGGAAGTGTTAAATGGTACACACACTTGGGAGAACTTGGGTAGTTTCTTATAAGTTAAACATCTACACTATGAACCAAATGACCTAGAAATTCCACTATTAGGAATTTATCCAAGAGAAATGAAAACCTATGTATACCAAATAAAGTCTAGTACAAGAACGTTCACAGCAGCCTTATTCATAATTTTCCCAAACTGCAAACAATCCAGATATCCACTAACAGGACAATAGATACATTGTGAGAGATCTATATAATGGAATGCAACTCAGGGATAGATAGGAACAGACTACTGATACGTGCGACAACGTAAATAAATCTCAAAGATATTAAGGGAAAGAAAACACACACAAAAGAACATATATGGTATGACTCCATTTATACAAAGTCCAAGAAGACTCAGAACTAATCTACAGTGATAACAAAGTGTTTCGGGGACCTCCCTGGTGGCGCAGTGGTTAGGAATCCATCTGCCAGTGCAGGGGACACAGGTTTGAGCTCTGGTCCGGGAAGATCCCACATGCCGCAACTAAGCCCAAGCCGTTGGAGGGAAAATATATTTAAGTTGAGACTTGATAAAATATTGATAAATAGGTGACTGGGGAGCAGGTAAAGAGAGCCAAGTATTCATCAGGCAAAGAGGACACTTTATGTAAAGAACCTATACCAGAAACAAGGTCTGACCTGCTTAACAACTGTAAGACACTATACCAAGACACAGTGTACCAGAGGGAGACTGGTAGGGCCCAAGGCTATATAATTAGGCAGGCTCTTTCAGGTCATAGAAAATGTTAAATTCTTATTTTAAAGACAATGAGATAGCATTAGTGGGTTTTAACCAAGTAAGAAAAATGACTGGATCTTCATTTTAAAAGGTTCATTCCTCCATACTATTAAGAATGGATTTGCAAGGCTGTGGAGCACCTGGAACTCTCACACATTGGTAGTGGAAGTGTTAAATGGTACACACACTTGGGAGAACTTGGGTAGTTTCTTATAAGTTAAACATCTACACTATGAACCAAATGACCTAGAAATTCCACTATTAGGAATTTATCCAAGAGAAATGAAAACCTATGTATACCAAATAAAGTCTAGTACAAGAACGTTCACAGCAGCCTTATTCATAATTTTCCCAAACTGCAAACAATCCAGATATCCACTAACAGGACAATAGATACATTGTGAGAGATCTATATAATGGAATGCAACTCAGGGATAGATAGGAACAGACTACTGATACGTGCGACAACGTAAATAAATCTCAAAGATATTAAGGGAAAGAAAACACACACAAAAGAACATATATGGTATGACTCCATTTATACAAAGTCCAAGAAGACTCAGAACTAATCTACAGTGATAACAAAGTGTTTCGGGGACCTCCCTGGTGGCGCAGTGGTTAGGAATCCATCTGCCAGTGCAGGGGACACAGGTTTGAGCTCTGGTCCGGGAAGATCCCACATGCCGCAGAGCAACTAAGCCCGTGTGCCACAACTACTGAGCCCGTGTGCCACAACTACTGAGCCTGTGCTCTAGAGCCCTCAAGCCATGAGTACTGAGCCCGTGTGCCACAACTACTGAAGCCCGTGCGCCTAGAGCCCGTGCTCCGCAACAAGAGAAGCCACTGCAATAAGAAGCCCGCCCACTGCAACGAAGAGTAGCCCCCGATTGCTGCAGCTAGAGAAAGCCCACGTGCAGCAATGAAAACCCAGTGCAGCCAAAAATAAATAAATAAATAATAAATAAAATTTATTTTTAAAAAAAGTGTTTCAGGGAAGGGAAGAAGACTGACTAGAAAGAAGCACAAGGGAACTTCTTGGATAACTGAAATGTTTATGATCTCATTTTAGATAGTGGTTATAGGGGTATACAGTTGACCTTTGAACAACAAGGGGGTTGGGTTGCTGACCCTCCATGCAGTATACAACTTACAGTCGGCCCTCTGTATCTGCTTTTTCCTCCACATCCTCAGATCCTCAAATTGTGTAGTATTTACTACTGAATAAAATCTACATATAAGTGACCTGCACAGTTAACCCATGTTGTTAAAGGGTCGACTGTATACTATTAGCAATATTCATAAAAACTGAACACCCAAGATCTGCACACTTGACTGTATGCAAATTATGCTTCAATCTTTAAAAGTATAATAAATAAAATACATAGAATTACAACAACAACAACAACAAAAGTGACTGGAGAAAACAGGAGAACAGGTAGACAAGGCAAGGGTGAATTCAGAGACACCAATGAAGAGGCCATTACAAAAGCTTTGCCAAGAGCTAAGAACCTGGACTAGGCTGGTAGTGTTGGACAGGTCTTGTATATATTTAGAAGACAGGCTTGATTAACTTAGTAGAGTTTCTAGCATGAGTAACTGAATACACAGCAATGAACATTGAAGAAAATGTTGTTTTATGTCGTTTGAGAATAGGGCAGTCAGCAAGCAAAATTAAGAACTGATTTTAGACATGAAAAGTCTGAAGTATTTTGAAGACATCCAATTAGGAGCTGTCTCATAGGTAGGTAACATATAAACTGATTTTATTAAGCAATAGACATGAAAAATAATAAAAGATGAGAAAAATTTAGATAAAACATAAAAATATATTTTTAAAACCGCATCCACTGAATCTTTACAATTTTCACACAATCTTTTAATTAACAAGTTTCAGGTGAGAAAACATTTTAATCCCTCCCTCTTATGTATGACCGATGGATATTTCCATAGCTCCCTCCAGATTGTGATATTAGATAAAGCCCAAAAAATACACAAAAGAAACAAGAAACAGTACCTGTTTCAAGGTACTTTCAAGTTAGCCACAATAAAATACATCATATAGCTGAGAAAGAGAAACCATGTAAAATTTGTCAGTTTTTTGGAAGAGAAAAATTTTAGCTCGTGTGTGTGTGTGTGTGTGTGTGTGTGTGTGTGTGACTCAAAAATGTCAATGAGTTCTCAATTAATAGCTCCAAACCTGCCTACAGAAATCATGGTGACCGCCTCAAGATCACTTGAAGGGAAGGTTAGTTAATAGAATAATAAGCTGGGTATAACGAGAGAAGTCTAAAACCAATTCTGCAACTAAGTAGTAGCTTAAGGATCTATGCCTCTTCAATAAATCAGAGCTAGCATGTATCCTTATCTTACATGATCTTTAATGATACTATAATGGAATGAGATGAAGTCTGTGAAAATACTGTAATAAAGGCAGAAAGGTCAAATAAATGGACAGATGTATTGTGTATATAGAGGTATCTGGCTTTCAGCTACTTATTCTGAATCAAGGGCTTCAGCTTAAATAACGTGAAGTCATGTGCTTCTGAAAGAAGAACCACTTTCATTTCATTTACCAATCCTTCATATCCCACATTACAAAGACACAGGGCCCAGAAAGGAAAAGGAGAACAGTTATTGGTGTCACATCTCAGTGTAGACAACTAACTTTAAAAAAAGCTTTACTATTACTTAGAAAGACATAATATAATACACAGTGGTATTTTTATCTCTCTCAAAAAAAAATGCCTGGATTTTTGTAGATAGCACAGGGTTTCTCAAAAGTTACTGTAAAACTAATCACTTCAATGTAAATAAAACCTGGTATGACACCTGGCACAGAGTAGATGACAAAAAAATCATACGTTGAAGGAATGCCCTTGACCCAATTCAACTTTATTAAAAATACCTACCTTTTCCTCCAGTTTCTTCTTCTCTTCACTGAATTGGCTTATTCTTTGTTTTAGAAACTGATTGAGCTGTAAAACCTCTTTCTCAGTAGATGCAAGCTTTTGCTCAAGTTCCTCTTGCTGGGAATGGGATGTTGACTGGTCTGAAAATGGAGTCTGGAGGGAAGTATTCTCATATTGTGGCTATTCAGAAAGAAAAAAAAACATAGGTAAGACTTTAAAAGTTTACTTGTCTTGAAAAAATGGAAAGAAATTAGAAATGAGATACAGTACAAAGAGCACAAATAGCCTTTAATGACAGACCTTGGCATAAATCCCAGCTCTCCTGCTTCCTAGTTATGTGCCATGATCAATTCAAATTGCTTACCATCAACAAGTTATGTAAAGTTCCTAGCACACAGCAGAAGCTTAATAAAAAGCAGTTATTATTTGGTTAAAAAGTATCATTAGAGTATAAAAAGTACATTATAAAAAAGTGAAATCTCAGGGGAAATAAATAAAAACTAAAGAAATATTTACTCACAGGTGATCATTTTTTAGCTATTATTAAACTCAGTAAGTATTAATAGAGTGTTTCCCCTAACTAGAAACTAAGGTCCATGAAATCAGGAATTTCTGTCCATCTTAGTTGCTCTTATATCCTTATTTCATAGAACAGTGACTGGCACAAAATAAATGTTAAAAAATAATTGCTTAATGAATAAATGTATTATTCTTTTCATGAGCAAGGCTCTGAAGGAGAGTCAGACAAAACCTCTTCCCTCCCCTTCCCCCTGCAGCATTACAACCTGGAAGAGGAGGGCAGGAAATACAAATATTTCCTCAAATAAATTAGAATGTGATAAGAATGTGATACCAACAAAGTAATGTGAAAGTAAAGAAACAGATTACTTTTCTATTTACTAAGCACATATGTTAGGCATTGTGTACTGTGGAGTCAACAGTTAGTAAAACAAGGTCCCACCAGTTTAATAAAGTGTCACACACAAAAAGACAACAAAAACTGCCTAAGTGCTAAGACAGCTGTATGTGTAGTAGCTATGGAATGGCTTTATAGAAGTGAACTTGAACTAGGCCTTGAAGAACTCATACTTTTTCAAAAGGTAGAGATGCAATTCAAAAATTATATACACGGTATGGTACCGGCACAAAACCAGACACATAAATCAGTGGCACAGAATAGAGAGCCCAGAAAAGAACCCATACTTATATGGTCAATTAATCTATGACATAGGAGGCAAGAAAATACAACAGGGGAAAAAACAGCTTCTTCAATAAATGGTGTTGGGAAAACTGGACAGCTACATGCAAAAGAATCAAACTGGATGCTTTCTCACACCATCTAAAAAATAAACTCAAAATGTATTAAAGACTTAAAATGTAAGACCTGAAATCATAAAACTCCTAGAAGAAAACAGACAGTATACTCTTTGATATCAGTTTTGGCAATTTTTTTGGGATTATGTCTCCTCAGCAAGGGCAACAAAAGCAAAAATAAACAAATGGGACTAATCACACTAAAAAGCCTTTGCACTATGAAGGAAACTATCAACAACAAAAAGGCCACCTACTGAATGAGAGAAGATAATGGCAAATGATTTATCTGGTAAGGGGTTAATATCCAAAATATACAAAGGACTCATACAATTCAACATCAAAAAAAAGAAAATTAAAAAATGGACAGAGGACCTGAAAAAACATTTTTTCAAAGAAGACATACAGATGGCCAACAGGCACATGAAAAGATGCTCAACATCACTAACCGTAGGGGAAATGCAAATCAAAACCACAGTGAGATACAACCTCACACCTATCAGAATGGCTATCATCAGAAAGACAACAAATAACAATAAAGTGTTGGCCAGGATGCAGAGAAAAAGAACACTCGTGTGCTGTTAGTGAGAATGCAAACTGGTGCAGCCGCTATAGAAAACAGTAGGTCAGTTTCTCAAAAAATTAGAAATAGAACTATTATATGATCAAGCAATTCCCCTCCTGGGTATTTATCTGAAGAAAACAAAAACACTTAATTTGAAAAGATATATGCAACCCTATGTTCACTGCAGCAGTGAACAACAGCCAAGATATGGAAGCAACCTAAGTGCCTATCGATAGATGAATGTATAAAGAAGAGGTGATATCTATATCTATCTGTCTATCTATCCTTCCAACAGAATATTACTCAGCTATAATATAAGATGAAATCTTGCTATTTGCGACAATATGGATGGGCCTAGAGGGTATGATGCTAAGTGAAGTTAAGTCAGACAGAGAAAGACAAATACCATATGATTTTGCTTATACACGGAATTTAAAAAACAAAACAAATGAACAAACATAACAAAACAGAAATAGTCATAGATACCGAGAACAAACAGGTGAAGGAGATGAAGAGGTACAAACTTCTAGTTACAAAATCAATGAGTCACAAGTACGAAATGTGCACTGTGGGGAACATGGTCAATAATACTGGAATACCTTTGTATGGTGACAGGAGGTAAATAGACTTAGTGTGATGATCATTCTGTCATGTATAGAAATACTGAATCAATATGTTGTGCACCAGGAACTAACATAATATTGTAGGTCAATTACACTTCAAAAACAAACAAACTCATAGAAAAAAAGAGATCAGATCTGTGGTTACCAGAGCCAGGGGTGGGGGAAGGGGAAGTGGATGAAGTGGGTCAAAAGGTACAAACCTCCAGTTATAGGATAAATAAGTACCAGGGATGTAATGGACAACATGATAACCATAATTAACACTGCTGTATGTTATATATGAAAGTTGTTAAGAAAGTGAATCCTAAGAATTCTCATCACAAGGAAAAAATATGTCTTTTTCTTTTATTCTGTATTTGTATGAGATGGTGGATGCTCACTAAACTTACTGTGGTAATCATTTCATGATGCATGAAGGTCAAATCATTATGCTATACACATTAAATTTATACAGTGCTGTATGTCAATTGTATCTCCATAAAACTGGAAGGAAAAAAATTTTGATTATATAAACAGCATTTATCATGTGCATGGTATTTCAAAGATAACTGACTCAGGCACTGCCCTTTACAAACTCAAATTTGAGTTTGTAAATTTGAGTTCATAAGAGAAACCCTCAGATAATTATATACAGGATACAATACAGTATGGCAGCCAAAGAAAAGCCATCTTCAGTACAAAGTGTTGGAAGGTGGGAGGATAAATGAAAAGGGCATGGGGAGAATGAGGGAAAAGGCTTTACTTGGAAAGGTGGCTTTTGGGACAGACTTTGAAAATAAGGAGGATTCTGGCAGGAACAGAGAAAGGAAGAAAAGCATTCCAGAAAGAACATTTTAAAAAGGCAAAAGATGGAATATATGCACAGAGTACCCATAAAGTTTAGGTTACAAGAGGGGGGAATATAAGAGAAAATTAAAACATCTACGTGAGACCATACTTTAGAATCACCAGGTTCAGATTTCAACCTTAATTCGTAGGAAATGGGAATCCAGTGATGGTTCTAGAACAAGAAAGTAACATGTTTAAGAAGTCTGTGAACTCTGTTTTGTAAATCTCTGTATTCCCTAGCACTTACCATAGTGTGTAAACTCTTAGTAACTTTAGATTAAAGGGAAAAGAAAAGAGGAAAAAGGACAAGAGAGAACTATAACAATTGGAAGTAATGAACAAGATGAATTAAAGAATACGGTGAATGGATATGAATATATCACTTTAAGAAATTATCCTAACCTATTTAGCTGAAAAAACCAAGGAGCTGAACAAGAATATTGAGAACAGAAGGAAGAAACTCTGGAAGCAGAAATGAGAGGATTTACAGAAAATTATTTTTTAAGGTGTGAATGGACAAGAAATGTTAAAGATAACTAAAGGTTCGAAATTCTGAGTCTAAGTAACAGGGAAGATCATATTCTGGGCAGAGGTAAGTAGGTCATGTGGGAGAACAGGTTTAAGCAAACGTACTTAATTACAATTAGAGCCTACTGATACTAAGATGCCAGTTAATATCAATTTAATACTAAGATACAAATATATATGAACATTAGGCAAAGAGATGGGTCTAGAACCCAGAAAAATGGCCAGGATAGGCTAGGAAACTGTAAAAAACTGAATACAGGTTTACAATTTCCCGTCAGGCATATAATGAGCTCAGAAATTGCCAACCTGTTTTACCGACAAGTGAAAAGCTGAACAAACTGAAAAATCAACAACTCTACTTAGATCTGTCAGAGAAGTGAGGTTATCAGGCAAACTGCAACCCCCAAAATTGGAGAAACAGGCAAATAAAGAAAATCACACTTACTGGAACAGAATTATCCATGGGAACCAGTGCTGAAGTAGGAAAACCAGAACCGTAACTGATGAATTTGTTGGAGGCTCAGAGTGAAGGTCTGAGAGTCAAAAACTCCAGGGGCAGCCAGTCATAGGGGACACCCAATATTCTTGAATTATACCCCTAGAAGCTCTACCAGGTCCTCACAATGAATCCCTTTGTGCTGCCAGCACACGGAGGAGAACAGAAACCATTCTGAAATGCCAAAGCTCTGTGTTCTTCTTAACAAGGCCTGTCCTCAGCAGAAACTACTTTACCAGAGACTAACCTACCTAGAGGGAACTAACATACCTAGAAGGAAAAAATCCCAAACCAGCTCCCTCTAGCCTTCCACATGGGGGGAAGGGTTAATATCCAACTCAGTTGCCTCTAGCCATCCTGTCCCACCTAAGGGTGGGAAAGAAAAAACTAAGAGGCACTGGTGAAGTTCAAAGTCCAGGAGCACAGGCTCACGAAAAGACTAAGTCAGAGGGCCAGAGAATGCTTCCCCTGCCCCACACCCTACCATGACATTACTAAAGGCCTGTTTACCACATTTCCTTTTATCAGTACATCTGGAGAGACTGAACAAGCATCAGAACTAGAGTCAGACATGTCACAAATGTTGGAATTATCAGAATAGACATTTTTTAAAACTATGATTAATATGCTTAAGGGCTTTACTGCTGAAGTAGACAACATTCAAGAACAGATGGATAATATAAGAACAGAGCCGGAAAGACCATAAAAGAAACTCTAGAGACAAAAAACACTGAAACAGAAACGAAGAATGTCTTTGATGTGGTTATCAGTAGACTGGACCTGGCGCAGGAACCAATCTGAGCTTGAGGATATGACAGCAGAAACTTCT